CTTCCAGCCTCACTACCCCGTTAGAAGGTTGAGGGAGTGAGGACTTCTGGCATCGAGGTCCCTGGAGGTCAGCAGGAGGATCAAAACCAACCATTTCTTTCTTGAGACGGTGAGAGGAATCTTTTGTCGCCACAGTTTAGATTAAATTTCAAAAACTAAATTACAAAACAACAGATTGTTAACAGCTTTAAAGATTATTAGAAATCAAATACTGGAATATTAGCTCAAACAAAGTCCTCTTCTTTTCCATAAAATCAAATAAATAAATGTAATCTAGAAAAAAAAATAGCTAAATTAAAGATTAATAGGTTAATCATTTTAATGCACTAAAATTAGTACAATACTAAAGAATATACATATAAAATAAAAGATTATTTTTCTTTCAGGGACACGAAAGGCAATTCTGTTTTTTTCCGCCTGTGAACCAAAAGACCTTGCCTCTCTAAGAGTGAGAGGAAGGTTGTAGGTGCCACCAGAAGGTAGGATTGGTGTGTATCGGGCAGAGTTAAATTGCATATCGGGCAGAGTTAAATTACCTGTAGATAATGGGAAAGGTTTTGCAGTTCTATGGTAGTAGAACAAAAGGCAAGGTTCTGGGGAATTGTCAACTGCCGAAGGAGAAATTTTTGATCAAATGCTAAGAGCTTTAAAGATAATTAAAAATCAAATACTGGAAAATTAGCTCAAACAAAGTCCTCTTCTCCATAAACAAAAAAAACAACAACAAATAAATAAATGTAATCTAACAAAAACTTCCAACTGTTTTTAATATTCTTTTTTTGTTTCTGCAATTTTTATTTTATTTTATTTTTTTATCTATTTTTTTTTCCTACTTGCTTTGATTCTGTTTTATCTTCCTGTATTTTAATCATGTAAAGCACTTTGCATTGTCTTTGTACTGAATTGTGCTATACAAATAAATTTGCCTTGCCTTGCCTAATTAAGGTTAAACTGTAAAATAAGGACAGTTTCTAGTTTATATATGTAATTAAACCTCTGCTTAAGAAACCGTCTCTTGACCCAGATGACTTGGTTAATTATAGACCTATATCCAATCTTTCTTTCTTATCTAAATTTCTTGAGAAAGTAGTTGCCAAACAAGTTTGTGATCACTTGCACCATAATGAACTTTTTAAAGAGTTTCAGTCTGGCTTTAGAGCTCATCATAGCACTGAAACAGCTCTGGTGAAAGTCACTAATGATATTCTCATGGCCTCAGATAATGGACTTGTATCTGTGCTCGTCCTGTTGGATCTCAGTGCTGCATTTGATACAGTTGATCATAATATTCTATTAGAAAGACTTGAATATTTTGTTGGAATTAAAGGAACAGCACTAGACTTGTTTAAATCTTATCTATCTGATCGAATTCAGTTTGTTCATGTTAATGACAGATCTTCAACATGCTCAAAGGTTACCTGTGGAGTACCACAGGGATCAGTGCTAGGACCAATTCTCTTTACTTTATACATGCTCCCAATTGGTAGAATTATTAGACAGCATGGGATTAATTTTCACTGTTATGCTGATGATACCCAGCTATATCTGTCTATAAATCCAGATGAAGCTAACCCATTACATAGATTACAGGCATGTCTTGAAGACATGAAAACCTGGATGACTCTTAACTTTCTCCTTCTGAATGCAGACAAAACAGAAGTTATAGTCTTTGGACCAGAGTCTCTGAAAAATAAACTGATTAGCCAGTCCCTTCATTTTGATGGGATTAAACTGATTTCAGATAATAAAGTAAAAAATCTTGGTGTTGTTTTTGATCAGGACCTGTCATTTAAATCCCATATCAAAGAGGTTTCTAGAATTTCCTTCTTTCATCTGAGGAACATTGCAAAAATTAGAATTCTCCTGTCCAGGGGTGATGCTGAGAAACTAGTCCATGCATTTGTTACTTCAAGGCTGGACTATTGTAATTCTTTACTATCAGGAAGTCCACAAACTGCAGTTAAAAGCCTTCAGCTGATCCAAAATGCTGCAGCCAGAGTTCTGATGAAAATTAAAAAGAGAGATCACATCTCTCCTATCCTGGCTTCTCTTCATTGGCTTCCTGTTAAATCCAGAATAGAATTTAAAATCCTCCTTCTCACATATAAAGCCTTAAATGGCCAAGCTCCATCTTATATCAGAGATCTGATTGTTCCTTATGTTCCTAACAGAGCACTTCGCTCTCAATCTGCAGGTTTACTAGTGGTTCCTAGAATTTCTAAAAATAGAATGGGAGGCAGATCTTTTAGTTATCAGGCTCCTCTCCTGTGGAACCAACTACCAGTTTTAGTCCGTGAGGCAGACACCCTGTCTACTTTTAAGGCTAAGCTTAAAACTTTCCTTTTTGATAAAGCTTATAGTTAGAGTGGCTCAGGTTATCCTGAGCTATCTCTATTGTTATGCTGCTATAGGCTTAGACTTCTGGAGGACATAGGGACCCCCATTTCATCATTCTGCTTCATTCTCTCTCCATTATCCTATTCTGCAGAATCTGTTAGTTCAATCTCCAAAGTTCTGCTCTCTCTGCTTTTCCTCAGAGTAGCTTTGCCTCGTCTGTTCCTGTTTGGCTGTGATGCCATCCTGGAAAGAAATATCAGCTGTGCTGCTTCCATCAACACCCTTGTTTATACATGCTGGAGATCGGCCTGTTTTTCAGTGTGGTCCTGTTTCTCTGACCGTGGCTGAGTGGATGTGCTCTCTTCGTCCTCTTGCATGGGAGCTGGCTCAGAGCTTGTCTGCCTGGTTGTGTGTTTCCTGGACGGGACTGCCTTTAATAGCTGCTTTTTGTGTCTCTGCTTCTGTCTCCTTGAACCCCAGTCGGCCTTGGCAGATGGCCACTCACACTGAGCCTGGTTCTGCTGGAGGTTTCTTCCTGTTAAAAGGGAGGTTTTCCTCTCCACTGTCGCTACAAGCATGCTTAGTGTGAGGGATTGTATTTGAGTCAATGAGTCAATAAAATCAACTGGTTTTCCTTAGATTAGAAAACTTTGTATCAATTTGACTGTTTGATCTGGTTGAACTGTAAAGTGCCTTGAGATGACATGTGTTGTGAATTTGGCGCTATATAAATAAACTGATTTGAATTGAATTTAACATTGTCCACTGACTTAATGCAGTTGTGCATGTTATATATATATATTTTCTTATTGTTTTTAATTTAAGTTTCTTATTTTAACTCGTTTTACATATACTCACAATTTTAGTTTTGTAGTTTTTAGCTTTCTATACATAAATTCACAATTTTAGTTTCTTAGTTTTTCATATTCATAAATTTTCCTTTATTTAAAATATAGATTACACAAGGATAATATCCGTTTATAATCGAAAGGGTGGACTGTTTTTTTTTTTATCTCTCTTCTATTATATATTAATTTATCCTATTTACTCACTATAAAAGTTTTCACTCAGTCTGTTTCACTTTCAAGGCCACACCATTCTCTGCAGGGTGGTGTTTGTGGACCAGACATAGTGTCTTCCCATAACAAATCATATTCTTTCTCAAGGTTTATTCATAACATGTTACTGTTTAACCAAATTGTCTAATTTGTTTTGACTCTGACTGCTTTCCATTGTTGTAAGTAAGGAGGAACGAACGCTGCTATAGCAGAACAGGGCAGAATGCTGTGCCATAAGGGCTGTATGATGAACTGTTCTCTCTTTGCAAAGATATGAATAAATGTGCCGACTGAGTGAAATCCATCAATCTCCGTTTATTTAACTAGGATGAATAGTTGAATAATTTTTCCCACGACACAGGTTTGCAGCTTCCTGCTACATTTCAGGGCCTCAACTGAAAGAAGAAAATAATCCAGAGGAAACTAGATGTATTTGAAGATGATTAATGACATCATGTTAACATCTGATCAAACAGGAAGAGGCCTTAAATGTATAACTAATTAATTTCAGAATATGATGAACTGTTCTGACAGTCTAATGGTCCTCAGTGTTTGTTCATAAAATGTTGGTCAGACTGAGCTGACAGATGGAGTGGAGCTGGTGTCCGGAACTAGTGGATGTGTTGAACAGGTGGAGCTGAGGAAGTAATGGAGCTGCTCCTGATCTGAGACTGAATACATGGTGAAGGTGCTGCAGGTGGAGGTGCTGAAGGACGGGGCTGTGTTGGTTGATTCCTCACAGTGGGAGGTTTAGGGGGAGCTGATGGTTTAGAGAGATTTAATCCTCAAAACCAGAAAACATGTGAATTCACCTGAAACAAAGAAACATCCCATCAAAATTATTTCTCAGTATGTCACTGGTTTAAATTACTTTATAGAAAACATTTCAGATATTACAAGTGTGTTTTAGTACTGCAGTGACAGTAGATGTTTTTAGGATAACTTCAATAGAAAATTAATTAGAAATAAAGTTGAAGGAAACCATGAATTAGTTCTTTATTTCTCATCCAGCTGATCATGTTGATATATGCATTGTATTGGTGACGACATTGAAGAAACTCACCCAACTCCAGTTCTACCACTGAAAGACATCAATAACAGGAACAGAACTTCTCTCTAAAAACATCGACAACCCAGCAGCACCAAACTTACCAATAAAACTGATCAGTCTTTCTTTTAACCAGAATCAGACCAACAGCCATCATATTTACACAAATTATTGGGTTCACTGGGATTTACATGATCAATTAAGCTAACCAGGGATTTTAATGTAGCTGGAATATTACAGCAGAACTGCTGCTCAGTGGAACAGTGGGTAACACTGCTGCCTTGCAGCAAGAAGGCTCTGGATTTCAAACTGCATCCAACATTCCTATGGCAGAGCTTCTAACATCAACTTCAGAAACATGTTCCTTTCATCTGAAACTCTTCTGCCTCCTCTCTTTTAAAACAGTTTTCCTTAGAGAGACAATTAAATCACCATCTAAAGTCAGACACGTCTCACAACAAGCAGCCTGTTTTCAGTTCCTGCAAACAGGTTTTTCTGGGTATCCTTCATATTTCTGAGCAACATAAGAGATTCCCTTCAGGCTCCGCCTCCATTACAGGTGAAGCTCTGACTCCTTCCAGAAAGCAGCTCAGCCTCAGGTTCACCTGTCAAGTCTCTTCAGCACTTTGGGAAGTTTGAGCAAACTGTAAGTTTATTTTTCTTCATAGTTAAACTTTGACTTTAAAAAAACTTCTGATTTCAGCTCAAAGTTGGATAAGTTTTATGTTTAAAGGAAGATGTAGAAGATTATAAAATATCTGATCAACATGATGAAGAGTTGATGTTCAGTTATGTTATTCATTAAATTAAATAATTCTTTGTTTTTAATTAAACTTTCATCCTACCTTTTTAAAGTCAGACACAACAGCTTACTGATGCTTCTTTTATCCTTTCAAAGTCAAATTAGGTTACATTTAGTTAAACTCCCTTTTCAAAGTGGTTCAGTTTGTTTCAGCTTTAACTGAGATGTAAAAAATTATCAAATTTTATAGTTTGATGTTTGGAAGAGGCAGCATTTAACCAGTTAAATCTTTCAGCAGCAGTATGAAACAGTCTGACTCATCTAGACCTACATTCTGGGATTATGCAGCTCCTTCAGTCAGACTTTCCAGTCAAACTGGAATCCATGCATTCCTTTAACACCAACCTTTACTTTATGTTTAAAAACTGAGCTCTTGAACACTTTTTTTCCAATTTAGCATTAGGTGCAGCTATAGGTGGGAATCAGTGAATGTAAATGTAGCTTCATCCTGTGTGTTCTTGGCTGCAGGTCCATGTGTGTGAGCTAATATTAAGTGAGCATCATGGATCAGTGTGAGGACAGAGAGGACAGAGTCCCTCCCTCTAAAACCACTCTGTGTGGAGAACATGAGGACCAGAGCAAAGCTCAAAGGTCAGATCACCATCTCTAACTGTCCAGGACTCTTCTCCATGTCAGAGCTCAGCATGAACATCAACAAACCATTTTTATTCACAGAAACCCTGCAGAACCAGAACCTGGACACAAACCCAGCTGTGTGTCATTAAAGAGCAATAATTCAAAGTTAGCTATTTTTGACTTTAAATCAGATCAACCTTCATCATCAATCAGGTGAGCTGTTTCTATGTTCCACTAATTAGCTTAAACTAACTTCATTCCAACATATTAATGTGAACACAACTTTTTCTCTCACATGTCTGTTCAAATGTGAAGCAGTGAGTGATGCTGTGCAGTGAGGCTAAATAATGGAAATAATCAAAAGATTGTTTTGTGATGATATGAAATGATCTTTTGAGATGATATCGGAGATAAAATCAGTTGTTCGTCCATCCAGTTGAATCTTTCTGGATCACCTTGTGTCACATTAGTGAACCAGAGTTGGTGCTTCTGCAGAGCTTAAGGTGATGCACATGTAGGAAAGTCATGATGCTGATTCAACTATTAGATGGAAACTAAATCATCAAACTAAATCTGATGGAAAACATGATCTCTCACTGTTATCTGCAAACATCAGTGAAATCAGCAGCTTCTAAAGTTCATCTGTTTTCATTCAAAATGATCATCAGTCTGATCATTAGCAAACTGCTCCACAGTCTCCTTCAGAAGCCGCTACATGTCATCAGAATTACAAGATCGTTGACCTGCTGCTGGGAGAAAGTTTGATGATAACAAAAGGAATCTTTGTGGGAAATTTAATGTGGATTACTATGAAAGGTCCTTGAATTCACCACCATGGACTGTATTGCAATACAAAGCTCAGAAATGATCAGCTGAGAATAAGGCTGCTGCTCTAAAGGTCTTTAATCATCAGTTTAAGACTAGAAACCCAAAGCTCATCCCTTATTAATTATCATCAGGGCTAATTACTAATCTTTCATTGATGTACGGTTTACAGTGAATTAGACACACTGTGGGGCATTTTAGAGTTATGGGCTTCACTGTTTAACTTTAAATACATTATTAGACTGAGAATGAATTGAGGTATTTTTTTCTTCAGGATGCGACAGAACCTCAAACCAGAACCCAGCCGTGTGTCTTTAAAAAGCAACATATCAAAAGGTCTCTATATTGATTTTAAATCAGACCAACCTTCAGCTGCAAAGAGGTGAGCTTTGCTAAACACTGTAACCGGATGAAACTTAACTGACTCATTTTTAAAGTTTTATTCCATATTTTATTCCTACTAATGAAGCTGTTTGTTTGTGTCTTTGGTTCACCTGTTTGTGCAGCAGGAGTCAGGCTGAATTCAGCTAAAGCCATAATTCAGTTGAAACATCTTAACCTGCCTGTGCTTATATAGCACATTTTTTTTACTCAGGAGACTTTAATAAGGCACTTTGCACTACATCCAGTCATTCACCCATTCACACACACACACAAACACTCTACTAGTTGTTAGCTACATTGCAGCCACAGCCGCTGTAAAATTGCGTCATGTGACCACCAGATGTAGGCAATGTGGGTGAATGGTCTTGTCCAAGCATACAATGACACTAAAAGGCAGAGTTTGGGCTTGAACTGACAACCCTTCGGTTGCAGGACAAACTCCTGAATCTGACTTTCACAGAAATAATCAGTGACAGAAAAACTTTTTGCCAGTTCAGAGTCTAGTGGATCATTTTGTTGCTGAATTTGTGCTTACGATGTTTTTTCTTTCTCAGTTTGAATTCATATGTTATTATTAAGAGATTATATTAAGAGAAAGAATTGAAGAGGAAAATATTCTGAGATAAATGACCAAATCAACATCCAACCCTTTCATTCGATCACTTTTAACTTGAAGGTTTTACTGTGACACTGTAATTGGATAAAAATACGCAAATGCAAATGTTTAAGGCAGGTTTTTACTGGTGATGAATATAGGAAGCAAAAACAAAATATCTCACATGTGGAAAAATATCTAAACATCTCTTACATGCATTCAATTTTCTTTTTAATTAATTTACTTTTGCTTGAAACTAAAACTAAAATATGAAGTTTTCTTTTTCCAAGGATAGAAATCAAACTTGTTTTCCATTCATATACCAAGAGGTTTATTTGGGGGAATGTTTTGTTTCTATTTATGTTCAGGTGCATTTTGTTAGTTTGGAAATTGGTGTTTGGTTTGGTTAACTAGTCTCTTTTTGTGTGTATTTGGTTGATTCAATAATTCAAATTGTCTGAAATAAATTCCTATTTATTCATTCATTTAAAGTAAACTGATGTATTGTTCCAGTCACCTCCTTACTGAACACCAACATTATTTCTGTCCATGAATCCTCCTCCTGGTTCTCTGCAGATGTTGGACCATGTTTATCATGAAGCAAATAGATTAATCACAGGATGTAAAGCTCTAACCTTCATTTGGACTTAGCTCTGTCGGATTAACTTGCCTTTATTGTTCTCACACAGGGTGCTGCTCTGGAATATTTTCAGGAACTAATCAGTTATTGGTTGAATAATTGTCTCCAGTTTCCTGTCAGTCATTGAAACAGTGGAGCTACAGCATCTGATCACAGACTAGGATTAGATTTACTGATTAATCAGTAGGGTTAGGGGAGGTTTTCTAACAGACTGCAACACAGTTTTGTTTAAGATACATCTTTCTGCACAATGACATGCAGTGTCACAGTGAGATTATTTTGGTTAGATGGAATAATAATAATAATAATAATAATAATAATGTAGAAATAACCTGAAACCATAATAAAAACACAACAAATGTTTGAACAAATGACTTCAATAATCTAACAAATGAACATCTACCAAACTAATGTACCATATTTTCACGACTATAAGGCGCACTTAAACGTCTTTTTTTTCCCTCAAAATGTGCGGTGCGCCCTTTGGTGCGGTGCGCCCTATGTGTGTTGTAACTGCGACTTTTGAGACCACCTCAATGAGGAGATGATGAAAGAGTGGCTGAATGTAAGGAGAGCAGGTGTTTTTTTTCCACTCATCACCATCGCTGTTAATCTGTGACTCCATGCGTGCCCATCTCACAGCTGATGTGAAAAACATGGGGAAACAAATTAACCCTGTGCTCGCTGTTCAACCGCTCGACATCGGTGTGAACCGGACCCAGCAGGTGCAGCAGAAGCAGCGAGTTTACATGCAAAGTCAATGGTTGACGCGCGTATAGGCGCAGCAAAAGGTCCCGCAGCGTGTTTTGAGCAGCAGGCGCAGCGCGTCAGGAGCGTTTAAGCATCTGGCGCCAACGCGCTGCTGCTGCTCGAGATGGAAAAATTGAAGTTTTGCTGCTGGACGTGCCGCATCAACCAATCAGAGAAGCTGATCTGGGAGCTGACAGCGAGACAGACACAGCGCTCTGATGACATATGAACGCAAATGAAAAAGGCTGGATGGATGATGAGATGATAAGAGCGTGGCTGAGGGAGGTGTATGTGAGGAGACAAGGTGGTTTTTTTCCACGCATCACCATCGCTGCGTGCCCATCTCACAGCCGATGTGAAAAAAACGGTGAATCAAATGAACGCTGTGCTCGCCGTTATCCCGGGGGGTCTGACAAAGGAACTTCAACCGCTCGACATCGGTGTGAAGCGGCCGTTCAAAGTAAGGCTGCGAGCGGCGTGGGAGCGATGGATGACAGACTGAGACCACAGTTTCAGGATAAGTGGAAGGCAGCGCCGGGCAAGTTACGCCACCGTTTGCGGATGGATTGTAGATGGACTAACGTGTCTGCTGGCTCTGTTGTTCAAGCTTTCGCAAAAGCCGGCATTATTTCTGAGGAGCCGCGCTGCACGGAAAGTGACTCTGACAGCGAAGAAGGGGAAATTGGCATGTCTGATTTAGCGCAGCTGTTTAATTCAGAAACAGAGGATGATGACTTTGATGGGTTTGATTAATACTTTGTAATAAATACATGAATAAAGCACAATCATAGTCAGTTTTGCTCCCGCTCTATTTTTCTACTTGAAAACTTAATTCAACAGCAGCCTCTGGGCGGGTCTCCTCCTCTTCACCGCGGTGGCTGGCAGGTGTTTTTTCATCTAAATAATCTAAATCTTGCAGCTATATTTGCTGTGATCAGTGGGAATAAACTGTCGGAGGCGCTCAGACCCCCACATACCAGCGGTGCACCGACATCCCTTCAACAGCAGCCTCTAGGCTGGGTAGCCTCCGGGTTCACCGCGGCGGCTGGCAGGTGTTTTTCATCTAAATAATTT